TGGGCCGCCGTTTTGTCCAATGCGGTACATCTTTTGATTTCTTGATGGTGCTTCCATGAGCACTGATTGTGGTTCCAGCAAAAGAAATCCTTCATAGCACCCATCTTTTCCCCATGATGTTGTCTGTTGGTCCAATTGTGCGGACTTTGGTTTTCTTTACCTCGAGTACAATGCATACCTAAGGATGGAGTCTTTAATTTTTATCAGCAAGGGTTTGAAGTCATTCACAATCCTGATGCCCTTCCTTCTTTATACAGTCCAGCTTCTCAGATGAGTTTCTCGGGATGCGGACTGATGCATTTGGTGAATGGATACAACCGTGACACACATCTTTCCTGATTTTAAACCATTCGGTATTCCCTTCTTCTGTTTAACGTCTGCTTCTTGATCGATACATAGGCTCCACGTGAGAACAGTGAAGTGTTCTGAAATTCCCATTCTTCTCAATGTTCTTTGAGTTTCCTTTGGGAATCTCCCCACTAGCCTCCAGAGCCTTCTGAGCCAACCTCTCGGCCTTGAGTTCAACGGGCCCTGTTGGTCTCACGCCTTTATTCCCACACTGCCTGCACCATGAGGCAGACTTCAGATGACCTCGTGGGAAATCGCCATCACACCCTCCTCCACAGAACCCTCCTTGTTCCTTGTACACTCAGCTTTCTTTCTTCTGCACCACCGATCATGTTCTATCATGCTACATAAATCAGCTATTTATTCGCCTGTTCTTTATTATTGAATCCCTTACCACCAGCCACTAAAATACAAACTCTGTACGTATCGAAACATTCTGCCTTGTCCACTGATGACAGTGTCTGGCACAGGCTGTGCCTGTTGTTGTGAGGGGTAGGTTCCAACAACCCCATGTACAGCAGAAGGTAACCCTGCCTAGTCCGGCCCCTCCTCACAGTTGTTGCTAAGTTCGAGCCCATTGCTGCAGCCACTGTGTCAATCTACCTTGTCACGAGCCTTCCTCTGTTCTGCTGCCCCTCCACTTACAAGCATGAGGTTCTTTTCCAGGACTGGTCTGTCCTGATAACATGACCAAAGTACTTGAGACCAAGTCTCATAGTCCTTGCTTCTACAGAGCCTTCTGACTTCTTCCTAGACAGAATTGTTTGTTCTTTTGGCAGCCCGTGGTACTTTCATTATTCTTTGCCAGCGCCAAGTGCAAATGCATCAGTTCTTCTTCAGTTTTTCTCATGCAATGGCCAACTTTCACAGGCATTTGAGGCAAATGAAAATACCACGGCTTGGATGAGGCACATCTTAGTCCTCAAAGTAGCATCCATATTTTTCAATATTTTAAAGAGATCTTGTGCAGTAGATTTACTCGATGCAATATGTCATTTGATGTCTTTTTTTAGAAAACAAAAGCATCTTTATTGCAATAAACGAATCCAGTGACATTCATAGATCAGTTGGCTCGTGCAGTAAGAGACTCCAGCACATTGCCCGTGTGCTCCCGCAAGCTCCGCTCAGCTGCTGCTCTGGGGATCTCCATCGCGGTCATTCTCAGCTCCAGATCTGCTTTCTTCATGGTGACTTTGCTAGTTCCTTCTCCCGCTCCTGTTTGGCTTTCTGTGCCCGGGATCGTCTGTCTCCAATCATGAACATGGCCGTCTCCAGGTTGGAACTCTGGATCGCCTTCTCCTCCGCATGGTCGGTGACTCGTTCCAGGTCCACTGCACCACTATCGTGCATCCGAGGCTTTTCTGGAGGCCGCTCCAGATCACCGGTCTCAATCTCCAACTCCAGTTCCACATCCCCCTCGGTAGCCATAGCGATCCCTCGTTTGATTTCTTAACTGCTGATTCCAAGAGCATTGATTAGGGATCCAAGCAAGATGAAATCCTTAACAATGTCAATATTTTCTCCATTTATCATGATGGTACGTACTGGTCCAGTGTGAGATTTTGTTTTCTTTACATTAAATTGTAATCCACACTGAAGGCTGTAACTCTTGATCTTCATCAGCAAGTGTTTCAAGTCCTCCTCTTGTCAGCAAGCAAGGTTGTGCCACCCGCATATTCCAGGTGGTTAGAAAACTGTCCTCCGAGCCTGATATCACATTCTTCTTCATATAATCCAGCTCCTCGGATTCCTTGCTCAGCACACAACTGAATAAACATGGTGAGAGGACAGAACCCTGACACACACCTTTCTTGAATTTAAACCAGGCAGTATTCCCTTTTTCTGTTTGCACAATTACCTCTTGATTCCTGGACAGGTCCTGCATGAGCACAATGAAGTGTTCTGGAATTCCCATTCTTCTCAAGATTACCCCTCATTTGTTAGGATCCACACAGAAGACTATCCACCTTGGCATAGTCAATAAAACACTAGTAAACATTTTTCTGTGATTCTCTGCATTCAGTCAAAATCCATCTGAAGTTATCAAAGACGTCTCTTGCTCCATGTCCTCTTCTGAATCTGGCCTGAGTCTCTGCCAGATCCCCGTTAATGCATTGCTACATGTTGCTGAATGATCTCCAGGAAAATTTGACTTACAAGTGTTATCAATGATATTGCTTTAAAATTTGTCCATTCTGTTGGGTCAGCTTTCTTTGGAATGGGTACAAATATGGATCGCTTCCAGTCTGTTGAGCAAGTAGCTGCCTCCCAAATTGCTTGGCATAAATTAATGCATGCTTCCAGTATTAAATACGCTTATTGAAACACTTCAATTGGTGGCCTGTCAATTTCTGGAGCCTTGCTTTTGGCTAATGCCTTCATTGCAGCTTGGTTTTTATCTTCAATGTCGTTGGTTCTTGATAATTCGCTGCCTTCAGAAATGACAGAATGTTGACAGTTCTTGGTACAGTGATTCTATGCATTGTTTCCATCTTCTTATGTTTCCTCTATCATTCACTATTTTGCCCATATAATATTTCAATATGTTGAAATATTCAAGACTTGAATTTTTCTTCAGTTCTTTCCGTTTAAGATATGTGAGCATGTTCTTTTTTTGGCTTTATAACTCTAGGTCTTTGCACATTTCATTATTTTGCTTTGTCTCTTCAGCTGCCCTTTACATTTTTCTGTTAGTAGGTACTTCATAAGTATCTATTAAGTAGGTACTTCATAAGTAAATGTCTGGCACATGGTAAGTACTTAATAAGTATGTGTTATTAGTTGATTAGCTATATTATATTGTATTTTCCATGTTTCTAAAAATTCTTCCCAAACTCCATGCTTAACTGATGGATAATGGTCTTTACCTTTGCTATGTTAGACTTCAATCATTCCCAAATCCAAATATTGAACGTCTGCCTTGTTTCCAATGTTTGTTATTATAAATAATGAGTCCATAAACATACTGTACATTGTCTTTTCTTATTTCCTTAGGACTTATCACTAGAAGTAGGATTTCTGAAAGGCGGCTACATGTATTGTTAGAGCTTTGGAAACATATCACAAATTCATTTCCAAAAAGTTGAAACCAATATATACCACCATTAGCAGGATGAGTGCATGTAACTATATCTTTATCAGTATTTAATATTATCTTTAAATATTTTGGTACTAATTGTGACACCTTAAAATTAGGTGTCACAAAGATACTTATTAGGTGTCATAATATACTTAGGACTTGTATATTTTGGCAAACTTCTCTATGTAAATCATAGACCGTATGGGGTAAAAAATAGAGAACCAAAACCCCCAAATGTACTGCCATCAAGTCAATTCCAATTCATAGCAGCCCTACCAGACAGGGTAGAACTTCCCCTGAGGGTTTCCAAGACTGTAACTCTCTCTCCCTTGGGGAGGCTGGGGGTTTTGCTCTGCTGACCTTGCAGTAAATTAGTAGCCCAACACAACCACTACATTGCCAGGGGTCCCTTAAAAATAAATCAGAAATAAGAAAGCCACTAGTGCCTGTTTTGAATCAAAGAACATAAACTATGCATCATTAGAATAAAGACAGAGATGATCCCAACCACAGGCAACCATAGATATGGTGGGAATCAATGCCTGCTTTGGTTTAAACAGTTACAAAGTAAATTGCTCTTAAGAGAGGAAGTATGACCTGAACAGTTAACACTTGGTCAGTTGACCCCCTTCTCTGATGTACACTGGACCTGACCGAGCATGGTTTACGGTGTGACCCCCTACAGACAGCATCTGGGCAGGAGAGAATAAAGGCTCAATAAACAGCACCAGGACAGTGGCGTGCAGGTAGCGGGGGCAGGGGGAGGAGGGCACCACTGTCTTTTCCTAAGGTCAGTCCTGCTGGAGCAGCAGCCAAAGACAAAGGTTGGTGAAAGTCAGGGAAAGGCAGAAGCCTCCCTTCTCTTATCATTGGCTCTCTCTGTTCTAGAGACCACGCTCTTTAGAAACCTTTCCCCAAGGATGCCCGGAGAAGTGATGTGCTGCTGAAAGCACCAACTTGCCCGTGCTTGATGTAAGGTACGGAAATGCTCTCCTACCTGCTAAAAAGCAACAGCTATCCAAGTCCCCAGAGGAGTCCTGATGGTGTAGTGGCTGTTCATTGGCTGCTAGCCAACCGCAAGGTCAGCAGTTTAAAACTACTAGCTGCTCTTCAGGAGAAAGAGGAGACTTTCGACTCCCATAAAGGGTTACAGTCTCAAAATCCCACACGGGCAGTTCTACTCTGTCCTATAGGGTCACTCTGAGTCAGAATCGACTCCGCAGTGAGTGAATATGCAAGACACCTACTCCACGACACACATCATTCGCAGCCACCACCCAGCAACAAAAAGGTTACCATGTGACCCAGCAGGAGGCCTCGGGGTCCTGCCCAGGCGCTACAGCCACGTATAACTCCAATATCATCCTGGGGGCCATTTGACCAGGGGCCTAGCCTAGCTGTCCACCCTATGAGGGCCTGAGTGAGAGCAGAGACTGAGAGGAGACCCTCACCAGATTCAAGGAAGAGCCATGGTCCCAACCCTCCCTGCATGGGCAAGAGAGCAACTAAATAAGAGCCCCAGGATTCTAGTCTCAAGAACAAAACAAAGCAGAAGCAAAGTCATGTGCCGAACCTGTTAGACCACATCTCCTCGCAGGTGCTGCACCTAAGTCAGGTTTCAGAGCACTGAAGTCCCTCCTGGTGAACCATCCCAGCTGCTTCCTTCTCTGGACAAGGCTGCGCTTCTTAGGCAGGTCAGCTTCCCCGAACAGAAACACACTGCAGCCAGGAACACGGAGGACCAAGTTCTCTGCAATGCCTAAAGATCATACAGAAGGAAGTTGTGACACATTCCACTGAAAACCAGGCCCACGTCCAGAAAGTGAACAACTTTACACAAATTAAAAAACTAAAGTTGAAGAATGATTAGTTCTTCCTTAAAGCTATTGCTCAAAGGGAAGCATATCTTCTAGCAAACCAGTTGCCAAACTGGTTTCTATTTCATGGTAATTCTACTTCATGGTGGCCCTGTGAGTGTTAGAGTAGAATGATGCACCAGAGGGCTTTCAATGATTTATTTGTTGGAAGTAGGTCCCCAGCCAAGCCTCATGGCAGGCTCAGACTTCTGGTCTTCTATTTAGTAGCCAAGCATATTAACTTTTAAACCACCCAAGGGCTCTCATCTTTATATCAGGAGCCTAGAATTTCCAACTCATTTCAGATTTGACAAGAAAAAAATTACCATTAAGACTGATAGAACCGGTAACTTCAATTGATAAACAATTTTCTGATACCCCAGCTTGTACTAAAGAGCCCTGGTGACGCTGTAGGTTAGGTGTTGGGCTGCTATCTTTCAAACCCAAGGGGAAGCTATCTGCTCCCGTACAGATTTACAGGCTCAGAAACCCGACATAGGACCTCTAAGAGTTCGAATCAACTCAATGGCAGTGGGCTTTTTCACGTGTATTGACTGTTAAGGTGCAGAAAAAGTTAAGACTGGACCGGCCAAATCTGCACTGTCCAGCACAGTAGCTACTACCCACATGTGCTATTCATATCTAAGTGAATTAAAATGATCTAAGTGAATTAAAATGAAAAGAAAAATTCCATTTTCAGTCTCACTAGAACACTTTTTCAAGTGCTCCTGTGTCTTCAAGTCAGTTCCCACTCACAGCCCGACCTATCCATCACAGAATAAAACCGCGCCCAGTCCTGCGTCAGCCCCCATCGTTCACTACAGTGGAGCCCTTGTTGCAGCCTCTGCCCATCTCGCTTGCTGGCAGTCTGCTTCTTTTTTGTTACTGCACCAAGCGAGACGTCCTTTCCGGGGACTGGTCTCTGCAGATAATATGTCCCAGGTATGTGAGAGGAAACACACCATGCCTACTTCTCAGGAGCATCTGGCTGCACTTCTTCCAAGACACGTTGATCTGTTCTGCAGGCAGCCCTGTGCCCTCATCCTTTCAATACCCTGCACCAGAATTCAAGTGCATCCAGTCTCCCGAGGTCTTCCGGATTCCTTGTTCATCTTTCATATGCATGGGAGGCAATTGAAAATCCTATGGCTTAAGTCTGAAGTCAGGCTCACCTTAGTCCTCCTGGTGGCATCGTGGCTCTTCTGATACTTTAAAGCGGTCTTGTGCAGATTTGTCCAATGCAATGTTATTTGACTCGTGGCCTCCACACCGGCCAGTTGTTGTTGAACACGTCTATCATCGTATCAAGGTCTACCGGACATCATGGACCAGGGATTGCTTACTGTTTGTTGCCCCTGAGTTGAATCCGGCCAACCGCAGGTGTGTGGAGTAGAACTGTGCCGCAGTTTCTGAGAGCTGGTTTTTAGGCAGATCGCTAGAGCTGGTTTCTGAAGTACCTCTGGGTGTGCTTGAACTGCCAAGCTTTTAGCTAGCACTCAAGCACTTAATTATTTATACCACCTAGGAACACAGCTAGATGTTCGGTAAATAAGTCTAATCATATTGAAACATAAAACCAAACATATTGCCATCTAGTTGGCTCCAACTCACAGCATCCCTCTAGGACAAGAGGAGAACTGCCCCATAGGATTTTTGAAAGCTGTAATCTCTGTGGAAGTGGCCTGCCATAGCCATCTCCCAAAGAGCAGTTGATAGGTTTGAACTGCTGACCTTTCAGCTAGCAGTCAAACTCTTAATGACTGCACCAGTTGGCTTCCTGAAAAGCAGGTGAATGGAGGTTATTCTGGAGGGAAGATCATGTTTCATCCATCTTTGTTCTTTGCATCTGGGTCCCCTGTATATGACCTTATCTTCCCAAAGCAGATTAGAGAAGGCCTTTCCCTTTTTTAATACGTAACTGCTTTAGAGGACCTCTGCTTATGGCTATGGCATTTACTGTAAACCCCAGTAGTCCTGGTGGCATAGTGGTCACACTTTGGGCTGCCAACAACCACGTTGGCAGTTCAAAACCACTAGCTACTCAGGAAATATGTGGTCAGCATGGATTCAATAGAAGGGAGGTTTGGGTGCTTGTTGATTGTAGACCCCTCGTGGCATCGTAGGTTATGTGTTGGGCTGCTAACTGCAAGCTTAGCGGTCAGAAACCACCAGCGCTCTGCAGGAGAAAGATGAGGCTTTGGACCCCTGTCGAGTTACAGCCTCAAGAGGACCGCAATGAAGGTTACCAAACAGAATGTGGATAAATGGCTTAATGTAAAATTAATGACCAGATTTATAAACCTTTACTCAATTCACAATAAAGTTTAAATAAATAAATCTATATGACGCCTCATAAAAAGATAAGCAAATTCACATAGCGAAAGGAATGAGGGGAGCGCATGATGGGGACCCAATGCCCATCTGTAGACAACTGGACATCCCTTGCGGAGGGGTAGTGGGAAGAAGATGAGTCACTCAGGGTTCAGTGTAGCAATAATGAAACTCACAACCTTCCTCTA